AGAAATGTGAAGGTCTCTACTGTTGATACCTGTGTTATCTAGAATTGTAAGAGGTGGTAGCATGGGAGTGTTTCTTCTAAAGTCTACCACCATTTCTACGGTTTTGAGTGTGTTCAGTTCCAGATTGATCTGGTTACACCATGAGGCAAGTTGTATAACCTCCTGTCTGTATGCTGATTCGTCATTGTCTTGAATGAGACCAATCACTGTTGTGTCATCAGCAAACTTCAGTATTTTAACAGATGGATCATTTGAGATGCAGTCATTGGTATATAGGAGAAGAGAAGTGGAGAAAGCACACAGCCTTGGGGGGGCCTTGTGCTGATTGTACAGGTATCGGATGTGATTCTGCATAGCTTCACCTGCTGCTTCCTGTCTGTTAGGAATCTATCAAAAAATAGCTATCCTTAAATTCATTCCTGGCTTATTTAAACTCTCAATGAGATTATTCCTTAAAGATTTACCAAAAAAGACTGGTAGTCCCCCTCCCTTTTCTCAAGGAAGACTGATTCAAACATTATTCTTACCCCCAAAGAGGTACATTTCCTGACCATAGTCAGGAAATAGTGCCTTTATTTAATTCACACAGAAATTTGTATTAACTGAACAAGCAACATTGCATTGTAAACTTTATGGCTTCTGCACATACCTGTGGAATCTTATAGATGCCTAAAACAGTAGCCATATGAAGAGAGACTTTGGCATCAAGTCCTCCAATGACAGCTATCAAATTAGTTTGCTTCTTGCAGTTGTAATTTGGAATAGTCTTCTTCTGGGAAGATAGAAGTTTCAGAGTGTTCTGATAAGACATCTTTGCATTATTGTAGCTGTCATAAATGTGGAACCCTAGGCTGATATTTGGCAATATTTTGGGATTCTCATTTATCTGCTTCACAGCAAATATTAATGAAAGTACATGCTGGTAATTCTTTAATACTGCCCTAAGGAAAAATTTATATAACATTATTTTGTATCCATATTATTTTGTACCATATTATTGCATCTAGAAATAAAGTTAAATGCTTGGAAAGTCACAAATAGGCTTATATAGGTATGAATTTTCATAGACATACTTTGAGTACTGTTTGACAAATAATAACTTTTTTGGTTTCCTGACTCAGTTTCAAGGTTTTTCCAAGCCATGTTGAATAAAAAAAATGCTGCTCTAAAATTAAGCTTGACTTAGTGTTTTCAAGGACACAAATGTAGCTTTCTTTCAAGCACTATGGAACTAAGCCATCAGTGATTTTTTTTCTACTTACAGTCTAATCAGCAATCCAATCTAGAAATCCTATAGTCTTTTTAGCAATAAGTCGTCTTAGTAATAAGCAAGTCTGAAAATCTTATTACCATCAGTTAAGGATAGATAAGTGGCTAACTATTAACTATAAAATCAAAAGTCAAAGTTTATTTCACACATAGATTCTTTGTTCCATAGCAATGAATATATGGATATTATATCTATATGGATTATAAATTGTCTGAAAGTGCAAAGAAGAGCTTTAAAATCCAACCAACAATAGTATGTGCTTTGGGTATTTCAACCACATCTAGGTCTTTAATTTTTTTTTTTTAATTAAGGGGAAAAATATATTTCTATTGCTATAGTGATCAAAACTTTCAGAGAAGTAATGCCTTACTGGGTTTTTCTTTACAGAATAGAAGAGGTGTAGATAAGATTTTATTTTTTGCTCACATCTCTTCCTTTTTTCCCTCATCTCCTTGTCCTGTCCTTCTCACTGTTTGCTTCTAGCTATGGCACACTGGAAACAGTTTAAAAATTAGGATGTATCCAATATTCTTTTTTTTTCTCTGAGATTGTAGGCTGGCCTCCCACACAAAGGGAAAAGAAGATGTACCTTGTGAATTTTGTTCCTTATTAAAACAAATGACTTTAAACTGGCTTAAGTGAGGCAGTGTTATATTATTGTGCACTGAAACTCATATTTGTGGAATACCAGTGGAAAGGGTGTAATCCATGTAATGCCAATAGAACATGTAAAAATGTAGATATTTATAGTCATAGGTACCTTTAAACAGATTAGCTTGACCCTAACAAATTATAAAATATCAATATAAATTGAAATGAATATAAATTTGAACAATAAAATATGATACTGTGATCTGTTTAAAAAAGGAAAGTGAATTAAATGAATTCAAAAAACAAACATATAAATGCTGTATTATTTGAGAGGAAGACAATGAAATGAAGTGAATTAAAATGTATTTCTGTCAGGCTAACAATAATAAATATTTAAAAAACACTTTTTCAAGCTTTTTTTATGAATTAGATCACACTCAGAATACTTCCTACTTCCAGTCACTGCTACTTCCAAATTAAATTTCCTTACATGAGTTCTTCTGTCACCTTTGTTTCAGGATGTTCCTCGAAGTTGCTTATTTCCAGCAGGCAATCAAATTGTGCAGCAATCCCTCCGATTATTATATCCCCTGGTTTAGAATACTCATATGGGAACTGGAAGGGATCACTCACAGAGCAGGTGTTATCATGTCCCTTGAAATTAGTGAGAACCATGTGTTGCCAAAGGAAAAGCTGCAGCAAAAATATCCTTTCCATGGCATGCATTGCTTTAAGACACTGTCAAGTACTGCCTATTTTTGAGTCTACTTGTTTTGTTAGTATTCACTCTACATTACATTGTAAATTTTAAAAGGATAATAAAATCATATTTATTCAATCTACAATTTTAACCAAATTGGATTTTTCTTTGGATTTCTTCTTGAATATATGCAGCTACCCTAAAATTCACGCTTTAGATTTATTTTTCCCCAAATGTATATTTTCTCTTCATTCTTTCTTTTTAAAATTTGCAGTACATTTTGAACGCAGAACTTCAGCGTATCAGAATGTATGATGTGAATAAGCTGCTTATTCTGGATATATTGGGCTGAAGAAGACAACTTAGATTAATTAATTACAATTTTTTTGATCTAAACAAATTCTGAAGGTCCTTATTGTCACATATAACAGTACTGAATTCTTCTGATAAAGTGAAACATTAGACTGATTGGACCCTGACTATCTTTGGAGCTTACTTTTTTAGTTACAAATGCACCACGATATCTTATATTAACTTTCATATGTTGTTACTGAAGGAGGACTGGCTTGAGAAAATGCATCTGGATTTAGCAGAGGAAAAATAAACCATAATAATCTAACATAATTACAATGTTCAAAGACTTGCCCATAGGGAATGGTGTAATCCTTTATATCTTACTATGGGAAACTTTATGGGAAACAAAACAAAATTTAATATTTAGATTTCATGTTATTCAAAGAAGTGAAGGAACATTCTGAATCGTTATAATGTACATGAGAAAATTATAAAACTCTTCAGATAAATAGAGGAGAATATTTATAACTCAGGATGACAATTAGGGGCCCATGGGGCTCTCTGTGCTTGATAATTTTCCACCATCTATTTCATTACCCAAACTAGATAAGGCTAGTAGGGAATTGGGTTTCCTTTTATTTTATATTCTAGTAGTTGCATTCTTTCTGATTTTACCTATATGAAAATATATGTGGCGTCTCTTTTTCCAGAGTTCATTCAAATAAATATTTCTGATATAACAAACTGATATGCATCCCATCCCACTAAAAAAAAAACAATTTATATTTGTTTATAAAGCATGCTGTTTTTGAGCACCAGGGATGAACATTGGAAGCCATCTTTCTTTCTTTTACCAAATACTGCCTAATGAAGAATTTCAATTTTTAGGGCTTGTCCAGCTTCTTCAATATTTTCAATAGATTCAACAATGTTTTCAATATTCTCAATAGATTGGGATCATAACAACCAATGATGACAAAGGAGAAAACTGTGCAGAGATTAATACCATTGCTTTATAAGACATGACATCCATACTATCAACATTATAAAAGCACCAGATTTAGAAAAATTCCAGTCATTAGAACCCTTAATAAGCATGGCTTTTTCATTAGCCAATTTTAATATCAAAGTTTTTGTTGTGAATGCTGGTTCTCAGAAAGTAAAACGGTTGCCATATTATGGGATTCTCCAAGGTTTGATAAATGTATCCCTCAGTAAGATATGGATTATGACAGCCAACTCTATTTCTTATCCCAGACAGTACAGAAAGATTTGGATATCCACATCTTCCACTGAATGTTATCATTCACAATCCACAAAAATAATCTGCTGGGTTTTCAATATTTTCTTCAAAACCTATATTTGCACTAATTAAGAAAGGAGGTGGATTCATCCGGATCTTCTAGAATAAGCATTTGAAGCTGTGGTTTTGCAGTAGTTAGAATGCAGTTTTGCAGGCTAACACTGTTCTCAGCCAAGAGTTTGATCCTGACCAGCTCAAGGTTGAATCAGTCTTCCCTCTTTATGAGGTCAATAAAAGCCAGATTGTTAGGGGCAATATACTGACATTTGTAAACCTCTCAGAGAGTGCTGTAAAGCACTATGGAGTGATATATAAATCTAAGATCTTATTGTTATGGAGTGATATATAAATCCAAGAGCTTATTGTTATTGCTATTTGGTTGCCTATTTTCAAGTTCAGACAGATTTGAGAACACAAACCTAGGCACTGACTTTCTCTGGTGTTCTTTTTAAGATGAGTATGATGGGCCAAAGCTATAGCAATTATAATTCAGTCCATATCATAATGCATAACATCAAAATTGATAAGGATAGAGGTGGACTGGATCACCAAGATGTGCATCAATGGAAGGTAGCATTTAAATATGATTTTGTGATGGCTGTGTTAGTGCAAGACACTTCTTGGTTTAGGCAATTAACAATTAATTATGACAAATCTAAAATGCTAATCTTTTCTAACAAAAAACAAAAGTACAAATGGACAACTGATTCCCATGAACTGGAACATATTTAAATCAGGGCTGTCAAATTTGTGGCCCATGGGCTAGATGCATCATGTGCTAGTCACACCCACGCCCAGTTTAATGAAGGGGGAAAATTTATGATACATCATGTGATGCCGTCATGACGGTGTGAGTTTGACACCTCTGCTTTAAATACTTGGGCATAGTATTTCAGGCCATGGAAAAATTAACAGCATATATAAACTACAGGTAGTCCTCAATTTACAGCCACAATTGATCCCAAAATTTGTGTTGCTAAGTGAGAAATTTATTAAATGAGTTTTGCCCTATTTTATGACCTTTCTCGCCATATTCATTAATTGAACCACACAAGTTGTTAAGTTAGTCAAACAGTTGTTAAATGAATTTGGCTTCCCCGTTGACTTTGCTTGTCAGAAGGTCCCAAAGGGAGATCACATGACCCAGGGATACTGCAATAAATAGGAATCACTTGCCAAGTGTCTGAATTTTGAGCACATGACCATGGGGATGCCGGAACAGTCATAAGTGTGAAAAATTTTAAATCATTTTTTCAGTGCCATTGTAACTTCAAACAGTCAGTAAATGAACTATTGTAAGTCGAGGACTACCTATATGTCTTTTCTTGTCCAAAAGAGTACACAGACAATTAAATTTGATAGACAACAATATGTTCCAGCTGTGGTTAAATTATTTACAGCAGAAATTATATGGCATAAAACTTAGGCCAAGCACAAATACTGTAGTTCCTATAGTCTGCAATTTGTCTGGAAGTCTGTTCACATAAAAGACATATAACTATGCAACTCAGGCCATATATAAACATGAAGGCTTATGAGGTATTCAAATTTTCCCAGGAACTTGCTTGGCATCCCAAAATGCACTCCAATGCAGTCATGAGTATTGAAGCCAATGTGCCAAGTATTATGAGCCATGATTACAATACAATATTGCAGACTAGTTCTGCCAGCTGCCAGCAGTTCAATTCTCACTGACTCAAGCCTTCCATTCTTTTGAGGTCAGTAAAATGAGGACCAAGATTGTTGGGGGCAATATGCTGACTCTGTAAACCACTTAGGGAAGGCTGGAAAGAACTAGGAAGCAGTATATATGTCTAAGTGCTATTGCTATTAAGGCTCGCGCCTAGACTAGGATTCTAATATCAGGCCTTAGGTGATATTCAGCAGGTTCTGGGGGACCAGTAGCAGAAATTTTGAGTAGTTCGGAGAACCAGCAAATACCACCTCTAACTGGCCCCTCCCTCATCTATTCTCTGTCTCCCAAGTACCAGATGATTAGCTGGGTCTTCTTTGGTTGCCCTGAACAGTAGAACACAGCTGGAAAGCAGGTTAGTGGGGTGGGGAGGGAATGGGCTTTTGCAGTAACCTTCCCCCAAGAGTAGGGAAGAAATTGAGATTTTACAGTATTGTTCCCATGAAGTGGGGTGGGAATGGAGATTTTGCAGTATCCTTCCCCTGCCATGCCCATCATGCCACACCCACCAAGCCGAGCCACACCCACAGAACCAGTAGTAAAAGTTTTTGAATCCCACCACTGCTAGAATCATGTTTGAGCCTAAAAGCCTGATGCCTTTGCTGGTATTAGATAATTACCAATTCCATTGACACTGTACCTGCATAATAGATTGCTGCAGTCTTGGCCTCGCTCCTGAATATTTGGCTAATTAACCCTGGAGAAGGCCAATCAATAATAAAAGAAAGAATCAGGGACATTGATCAACAACATGATATTACCAGTGTCCCTGAATCACACTGCTAACTGTTAAATAGTCATAAGACTTCCATTGCAGGGTAATTATACAATTTATAACTTATGGGGGACGGGGGATGGAGAATTAGCAGCTGAATTTGATATTGTCAACTGCATGACTATTCCCAATAAATCCTTCTTAAGAAGAAAAGTTGGAATAATTGATCCACAAGCTCTACCAAGCCAGGAATTCACAACTGATAAAGAAGCCATCACAGGGTCCAGCATATTTAATCAGGTGGGAACGACATATCAGATTTCATTCCCAGCTTGAGTTCCTACCCAAGACAGAAAATAATTTCAGATATTCTATAGTTCTATTCAACAATTTCATGGAATATTTAGGTTATCAAAATGCATTTATTTTGCTTTATTTTAAAAATGAGAGGCACCGAAATCTGTAACAGAATGTAGCAATACTAGAAGTAATTGCCTTTTTAGAGACAGAGATCTTTTTAAATTATTTCAAAAAGCTTTTATAGATCAAAATATTATTCAAATGTATTGCTTTCAGGATAAACTTTTATGGTCTTTACAAAATATCAGTTTTATTTTACAAGGAGAAAAGATAACAGAATTGGAAAGAGGCCAGTCTAGGATTAATGCCTAATGCCATTTCAATAACATATGAAAAGAAGGGAAATGTTAAAAAGCCATTGACAAATAATCTTATAAATTTTGAGGACAAATGATGAGAATTTCTTTATTTATTTAAATTTTCCTTTAGATGTATCATGTGAATGAGAAGGGAGAACAGAAAATAAATGACTCACAGATCTGTAGAACATACTATGTGGAGTCATTGGTGTTCTTTCAGTTGGTTGTTTTCTTGTAGATATTTCATAATCCAAGCTAGATAAACTAATCTAGTATTAATGATTTTATGTATTTTGGGTAATGAAATGTTTGCAAGAAAGCAACCAAGTTCAAAGAGCAGCAAGGAGCCCTCATTTCAACCCTGAGCTACAAATATTCTCCTTTAATATACAATCTACCAGAAGGAGAGCACAATTTCTTTAAGGCTCTGAAATAAGGATAGGAACCCACACTTGACTGGAAAACATTACTACAACTCCTATGTTTATCACATCTGATTCAATTATTATTTTAGGTATGTTCAGGTCTACTAAGAGAAGGACTATTTTAGTGACTGGTCCTACCTATTATACAGATCATTTTCTGCAAGAGCCTACTTTATCCTGACAGAAGCACAGAAATGTTCTTGTTTCTACCTAGTTCCAAATGTTTACACTTGCTATGGATGCCTCAAATTGGAGAGAGATTGAAAACTATGTTTATTTTTCCCCTGTGTAACACGAAGTGCCTTACACTATAACCTAACAATTATCCCAATCTTGGCAAGCCATATGACACTTTCCTGAAGTCACTCTACAACATTAGCACTTTCTGGAAGCTTATATTAATTACTGTTTCTTTGTGTAGTTCCAATTTGGTGGAAGCATGTCAGACCACCTCTAAAAATTTACCTTAATGAAAAGTATCTGAAGCCACTCCAGACAATGTGGTATATCCAAGCTAATGATGGGTGGCACTATTGATGTATGAAATCTGAACTACTTTTTGATGGAATGGCAAAAATATTTCTATTGCTTCTGCTCATACTCTGGTTGCAGCAGCATTCAGCTAAATGCAAAACTCTGAGTGCTATATGTATGACTATGGAGCCCATCCAAATACTGAATGAATATTGTCAGGCAGGGGATTTAATTATAGGAGCAATTACAACTCAGTATAACTGTGTATTTGACATACCATCTTTCAATGAAAGTTTCAGAATGAAGCCTTTATGTGACCTTGTGTACGGATACTTTTTTCTTTTTTAAAATTCAAAACACAAATAGAAAAAATGAAATATTTTTGCAACTTGTAATGAAATATTTGGCAATCAGTTTTGTTCTATATTATGAGCTGGATCAATGAATTTTAAGTTTGGCATGACCTAAACTGAGGTCTGCTACAAAATGTAGATCCAACTCAAAGTTTGTGTCAATTTTTACACCATATATTTTGCCTTTCTACCTGTTTATTTCTTTCTATCTTCTCCTGCTAATCAATCTCATTTTTCACCATGAATTTCAAGTTTCACCTGGTATTGTCCTGGCTCTTTCCTTCCAGCTACTACTCTGAATTGGTTATTGTTCAATTTCTCATAGCTTTGTGCTTTATGCTTTTTATCCTTCCTCATACCCAGCATTCTTTTTAATCTATTTTATTCTTTATGTTGCTTACACTATGGATTTATCTGCAAACCTTAGCTGAAATTCTCAGCTGATGTTATTGAAATGAAAAGAAAGGATTTGTTTGACATCTGAAAATTTAACACATTTCCTATTTCAAAATGTATATGAATCTTCATGAACATACTGAGTCATTTATGTTATGTTACTCAGGAAATTCATTAAAACCTAAAAAGCAAATGTGTAACATTTAGGATGGGAGGAGAATATACAAATATAATTACAAACTTTACAGATTTACACATTAGAGAAAATCAGTTGTAGAACATGGATAATATGAATTAGTAATTATGTACAATAGATGCATGTTAGAAAAGAAAAATATATGCGGTTGCTTCTCTATATTCAGGAGTTTTAAAAAATTATGACTTTTTTGACTGTAGATGAGAGTTGAGGAGAGGAGAGGCATATACATTGACATTTTAGTTAATAAGGAAGAACTTATAAATAATTTATCCATATAAGTGGAGTTCTAGATCTTGCTGAAGTTCAGATGGCAATCTTTACATTATTCATATGGACTAAAGCTGCTTTTGGTTTTCTCTATATAAATTGACCAAAAAACAAATGCTTCCATTATGTATTTTTTCATAATGTAACTCTGCTTTTAGTTTGAAGTTGAAGAACTACCAGCATGTCCTGACCATGGCATTTGCAGTGAAGGAAATCAACAAGAATTCCCAAATCTTACCAAATTTTACCCTGGGACTCCACATCTATGACACTTATTCCAGTCCAAGGATGACTTATTACAATACTTTGAAGCTTCTTTCCACTTGGAAAAGGACCATTCCTAATTATAGCTGTGACAAGGGGAAAAAAATGATGGCCCTGGTTGGGGGATTAGACTCTTCCACTTCCTTCTATATGGCAACCCTCACTGGCCTCTATAAAATTTCTCAGGTAGACACAATGACTGCTTAACAAAGCTTTTCCATGTCCTATCTTGTGGAAGACAATTTTCAGATCAACAACTGCATTTGACATTTGGGTGATGCACTCTACTTCTTAGTAAAGCAATGACAAAACTAAAATTTGCATTTATATAATTTATATTTTAATCAATATGTTAAATACAATTATGTGATGATATCCTTCTATGTTTAAACAATGTTCAAATCAGTCACAATAAACATGACATTTTTCTAGCTGGTCTTGAGGACCACATGCAGTTTTGCATCTGATCTCTAGTTGTTACTTTTCTATTTTTCTCCCAAATCTTACTGCCTCAATATTTTCATGAAAAAAAATGTATGACTGGTCTCAAAAACAGATATTTTCTGTGCAATGTCATTAAATATGAATGGATTTAAGATCTTTGATCATTTTACCATATGATGTATTTTTGCCACAGAGCAAAGATTGGGTAATTCATGAGAATACTAAAAAAAAAAAAGGCTTTGAGAAATTGACATACTGCATCTCTGAAATATTGTGAATATCTCCACTCAGAGAAGATGAAGGATTTTCGAAGAGTTCAGTCCAATGATTTATTCAGTGGAGTGGCTAATCATGTTACAATAATCACCCAAAAGGAAATGAAATCATGACAAGACTTTGAGAAAATTCATGTTTGCCTTTTTTTTCTTGGCAGATTGCCTATTCTGTATTTGCTCCAGTGAAGAATGCTAGCAAATTTCTCCCTTTTCTGTATAGAATGATGCCAAGTGATATAGTTCAATATTCAGGAATTGTACAACTTCTTTTGCATTTCCAGTGGAAATGGGTTGGGATCATTGCAACAGATGATGATGATGGAGAAAAATTTGTACAGACCTTAACTCCACTGCTCTCTCAAGATGGCATCTGTCCAGCCATCATTGCTAATATACCAACATTATCTCATTATTTAAACTACTATAACTTATTGATGCACATATCACCTGAATCCATGTTATTAACTTCATCTGAAGTTAATGTGTTTGTGCTACATGCAAATCATAGAATGATAACATGTATTAAATGGTTGATATATATGTATAAAATCCTGGAAGACAATGACTCTAAATCAGTAAATAAAATCTGGATTATGACAGCCCATTGGGATTTCTCAACAGACATATTGCAGAAAAGTTTTGATATGATGTTCTTCAATGGTGCCTTATCTTTTGCAATTCACTCTAATGAACTGCTGGGATTCACCCATTTTCTGCAGGGATTAGATCCTCGTTCAGATAACAATGATCAATTCATCCAAGTTTTCTGGCAACAGGCATTTAACTGTTCATTTTCTGATCATAATGAAAAAGAATGCACTGGGAAAGAGAAATTGAGCCATTTGCCAGGAGTTGTTTTTGAAATGAGCATGACTTCTCAGAGCTACAGAATTTACAATGCTATTTATGTCTTAGCATATGCTTTGCATGAGATCTACAAACCCAGGCCACAAACAAGACCTCTATATAATGGACATTATCTGGATCAGAAACCTTGGCAGGTAATATATTTTTGCTATTTCAGTTTTGGTCTAATGGATGAAAACTGGTATAAAGCACTGATGGTTTTATACATGAGGTATTTTTGCTGATTTTTTTTTTTTTTGCATTTCTAGTATTTGTTTCAGAGTTGCATGACATATTTTAGTATATTCATTACCAAAGGCACAGGCTAATATGTTTTCATACTAAGACATATCAATCTCTATTTGCAATCTCTATTTACTCTATTGCTATTAAATAGTTTGTTGAATATATCCCTCCTGCATCCATCCCTTAATTTAACATTTGAAAAAAAACCATAGTAGAATATCCCCTTTCCTTAAAAAAAATGGATTCCTAATCTGAAACCTTCGAACAGAGCTATCCCTACTGTTAGATAAAGAGATAAATCTGTTTCAAGTAATTTATATTCAGAAGGCATGATGAAAGAATTTTGATAGGAAATATAGTGATGTTCAGCTTAGCCTGTATCCATTCAGGAGCCTTCAGACTACAATAGCAGATGCCTGTATAAAATTAATATTCTATTTCTTAACTGATTATTTATTGTATATGGGATAGTAGAGATGACAATTTTGACCATGTGTGCAGTTACCTCCGCCTTCCCAGGCAAGGACTTCAATATATTGTAAATCTGCAAAGTTAAAGATGTTAAACTTATATGAATAAATCCCTAAGCTGAGATAAAATCAAGAATAATGTAATGAAAACAGTGATTAGGGAGTTGTGCCTTTATCTCTATAGATCCACCCCTTTTTGAGGAGCATTACTTTTAATAATAGTGCTGGGGATATTGTGTCTTTCAATGAAAATGGTGAATTAACAGCTGGATATGATATTCTAAACTGGGTTATTTTTCCAAACCAATCCTTTGTAAGAGTGAGAGTAGGAAAGATGGATCCACAGGACAAAGAACTCTTCATTAAAACAAATACCATCACATGGCATAGTTCATTTAACCAGGTAAGATGCACTTTAACTTCAGAAATGTCAAGTTAGATGAGAAATTCTCTTACAATTTTTCCTTCTCTTGTTTGAATAATTTCAGTCAATTCTATCTCACTGGTAATTATTTGTCACTGACACTAAGCATCTCACCAACTCTAAAACACATCACATAAAAATAATTTTATTCCCAGGTGATTGTTTTTAAAAAGTTGTCTACCTGTTTTGAAAATATTTCAGACCTTACATTCCCTTTATGTTTTCATCTATTTGTGTCCAATTTCTTCATTTAAAAATTGTTATTTATTTGTTTATTTACTTAATTTGTTTGCCACCTATCTCACCACAAGGTGACTCTGGGCAGCTTACAACATTAAAATGTAACCATAATTATATGAATAAATAATAAAAATCACATTAAATTTACAATAAAATACCAATTATAAGACTATACAGGAGTGTGTGGGGACTAATATTAGACAATTAGCTATCTCCAGTATAAAATTCCCCCATCAGCCCAGAGCCAACAGGTAGAGCCAGGTCTTTAGCTTCTTGTAGAAGATGGGAGCCAATCTCACTTTTGTTTAATGTTATAATTGTTTTATTGTTGTTTTATTTATATAATATTATTTATTATATTTATTTTAATTATGTTATATTTCAGGGAAGTACACCTATCTGATATTCAGGCATGACCTCAGATTACATTAAGAAAAATTGCAGAATCAATAGCATAGTGATTATCACAATAGGAGCATCATATATATTCTTTGCTTTGTGGGCAGGTACAACCACTTTCTCTCTGCAATGAGAACTGCCATCAGGGTTACCACAGAAGAAAAAAAGAGGGGAAGCCATTTTGCTGCTATGATTGTGTCCCTTGTGCAGATGGAAAAATTTCAGATCAGATGGGTAGGATAAGATATAATACCAACAGCTTACAACTTAATTATCCCTTAAGGAAATACCCCTATGGCACTGTATATTTATTAATATGAATCTACACTATTTAGAGAAATGGAAAAGATGGAAAATGTTTCTGTGTCTGTACATAAATAGTTTTGAAAAAAATTACGACTAAAATTAGGCCGAGAAAATTTGCCCCTTGGAAAATCTATCCCATTTATCAAACCTAAAAAAATCAGTATCTAGTATGTGTTTTATTATGTGAAAGTGGGTGTGGATAATTAACTCATTATGGTTTGGGATGAGCACTAGTTTAAAAAAAATCAGGCATGAGAAATGATACTCACAACTTGATCTTTCCCCAAAATTCTAAATCAGCATTTGTACTCAGAGAAATATTCCTTCCTTCCTTTCCCCCTCCCTCTCTCCCTCCTTTTCTTTTTGCCAAAGATGAAGTATAGATTAAATTACACAGAACCTCACTCAGTTAAATTAATACAACCTAAATTATTGAATTGGCATCCTTCAGTCTCAAGAGACTGTGGTATCGTGCTATGAAACTGGTAACTGCCACTTCCTGTGTTGTTTCAATGCTGCATGTTAATCTGGAGTTAATCCTCTCCAGAGCTCAAGATCTGTGTAATTTAATATGGAGAATAAACTGTTACCCAAAAAGCAGATCATCATTGAAATAGTCTAATGGAATGGCAGAGCCTATACGATTAGTTCTAGCTACATCACAAGAGTTACCAGAACGTGATTGTACACAGTCACAAACTGCTTCGGGACTCTGGCTCTGGATTTTGCCTCGAGGTTGACTCCTGAAGCCTTTTCCAATAATAGATATAGCCACAAGGCAGTGGAAGTTTGAAATCAGTGTCCCTTCTCCTAAAAGATGGTTCCACCATTTTATCTGGCATTGGAGCATAAAGTCCTCTTAAACCTTCAAAACTGTTGACCATCTTCTCCTGTAACCTTGGAAAGGGGCTCTTATGAGATGCTATCAGCCAGACCAGCTGGACCAAGGTTTTTAAGGAGGTATTACTCCTAAATTATATGTACTTAAGAATAGCTTACTATTCTTTCTGTTAGTAACAGCATCATTAGGTAATCATTTAAAGAAATCTCATTGTCTCCAGGTCATTCAAAACAATCAAACAAATTACAATGAAATCAATAAAACATAAAGGATAAAAATGCCAAATGTGATAAAATGAGAGGCTGTACTCACCTTCCCTTAAGGCCTGACGAGGCCAGGACCTCGTCACTCTTCTAAACAATACCAGAGAAGGGCCATCCAATCTCAGGGGGAATTCCATTGCAGGGAATAGATGCTGCGTCCAGGATCCTAATAGACCCTGGAATTTTTTAATTAAAAAAACCCAAAATATACCAATCCTGCAAGATTGAATTGGCTGGCCAAATGTCATGGGAGAAAGTACCGTAAAATAATCAGCCGATATGCTATATAGAGGTTTATTGATTTAAAAACACTTCGGATTGCACCATAGTTATTGCAACCCATGAAGCAGAAGTGTTATATGGGCATGGCCACTACTATTTGCACCATTTCATTCTGGACCAATGAAAGCTCCCAAGTGGTCTTCAAGAACACTCCCATGTACAGCATTTTGCAGACTTAAGTCACAAAGTGACAAGGGTATAAGTGAACATCTGAAGGGCACTCTGTCTAGGAAAGAGATCAAATGCCATACCAGATGAAGTTGTGCAAAGATCTTCATCATCACAGCTGACAACTATTCATCCAAGAAGACTTCCAGATTATTTACAAAATCTGGAAGAGGAAAGTGGAAAGAGGGAAGTGCCATGCCACCCAAATTCAAAAAAAGAATATCTCCAGCCATTTGGTCTTGTTAAGAGTGAGTCAGAAATTAGTTTCACAATTTTTTTTCTAACATCTTATGATAAATTTGGGCTCACATCCAATTCACAGATGCCCCCACACATTATATTTTACATTAAGGTTTAGGACAATTTTTAAAAATCAAAATTGGTTAAACTTGCCAACTCAAGCATATATTTCATGGCAATAGTAGGGCAAAATATGGCTTGCTCTAGATATTAACACAATACATATCCTGTCTTTCAGACACAGATGATTGTTTCCAATGCCCAGAAGGTCACTATTCAAACAAAAACAAAGATCAATGCCTTCCAAAAAGAATTAACTTCCTCTCTTTCACTGAACCTTTGGGGATCACATTAATCTTTTTGGCTGTGATGTTATCTGTAATCACAGTTTGGGTCCTTTGGATATTCACAATACATCAGAACACTCCCATTGTCAAAGCCAACAATCGAGATCTAACTTACTACCTACTTATATCTCTCCTGCTGTGTTTCAACTCCTCATTCTTGTTCATTGGCAAACCACAAACTCTGATCTGCTATTTGCGACAAACCACTTTTTCCATCGTTTTTTCAGTAGCTATTTCTTGCATATTGGCCAAAACTGTCACTGTGGTACTTGCTTTCATGGTCACTAAGCCAGGATCCAAATTGAAAAAATGGATAGGAAAAAAACTGGCCAACTTCATTCTTCTTGCCTGCTCCCTGATTCAAGTTGGGATTTGTGTTGTATGGTTATGGATATTTCCTCCTTTCCTAAATTTTGACTTCCATGCTCTGGCTGAAGAAATTGTGGTGGAATGCAAGGAAGGATCAGATGTCATGTTTTATTGTGTTCTAGGTTACTTGAGTTTTCTAGCCATTATTAGCTTCACTGTGGCATATTTTGCAAAGAAACTGCCTGACATTTTCAATGAAGCCAAATTTATCACCTTCAGCATGTTGGTATTTTGTAGTGTGTGGTTTTCTTTTATTCCCTCTTACTTGAGCACCAAGGGAAAATACATGGTGGCTGTGGAGGTCTTTTCCATCTTGGCTTCTAGTACTGGATTATTGGGCTGTATTTTTTTCCCTAAGTGCTATATAATTCTGTTTCAGCCTATATTAAACAGCAAGGATCTGCTCATTAGAAAGAAATAGCATTCATTAGCTCACATTTACTTTTTTATTATATAACAACATATTTTCATTCAAAATTCTATATATAGAGCTATCATTCATGTTTCCTTTTCATTAGTTGATTATATTTAGCATGTTTTTCTTTCCATTAATTGAATTCATTAACTGAAAAGACTTCTGATTTGGTTTTATCATTGGGTTGAATCAAATATTTTCCAGGAGCTTTATTAATTTTTTTATTGTACAATGAACTTTTAAATTGTTTCAATTATGTTAAATGTTTCTGTTTTTTTTTTAAAAAAACCTTCCAAAATAATAACAATTCATTGTCAATTATAAAATTAAAAAATAGCTGTCAATTGCATAAGGTCACACTGCTTGAATCTGCACATATACTACACCAATGCAAGCATCCTAGATTCCTAGAAAAAACTCAATGTGAATGAAGACGAATACCAAACAAAGATGCATTTAAGTGCTGTTTGTATTATAATAATAAATTCATAATAAATGTATGACCCCACTCACTCAATGGATCAAACACCTGTACACATGCCATTGATGATCAGATTGCCTATATACCTTATGAAGACTTTGTATGCAGAACTATTGTGAAATATGGGATTCAATTATTCTGCAAAATACAATAGATGAGAAAAAAGCATGACAGTTATACACACAAACACACACAGAGACATACTTGCATAATTGATGTACATAGAATTGAAACTGTTCACTATTATATTATACTTTTATTTTATTTTTTTCTGTTGTAGTTTTGACAGTTATAAAGCACTTGTTATACATTATTTCTTCGATAATGTATGTAATTTTACCAATAATTTTATTATTGATATAATGTAATTTTATCAATAATAAAGACTTAAATTGTGGAAGAAGATCATTATTGTGGATAAATATACTGTAAATTGAAAAAGATAAAAAATTGAAAATTGATAAATATACTGTTTTAATGAAAAAGAGAGATGTCAGCTTACCTTTCCAATATATTTATATTTATTCAGGATGCCTGAAGGTGTAAGAATAAAGCGTTTATCCCTGCCCACAGACTTACAAATTGTTGTGAAAAAACCTCAGTGTTTTCTGTTCTGGTTCATACAAGAAAATAATAGAGTGAATATGCATGGACATTTGTGAGTTTGTGACATATCCCAATTACATATCTTGCCAACATAATAGCTCCGTAGAAGAAAAGGCTTGTTTTTTGGCTTAACCATATCAGTTAAATTGGGGAGAGGAAATTCTAATATGTATGATATATAAATATTAAGATTAAGATTTCTTAATGTTTATTAAGGAAGAAGGGTATATTGATTATATTCCAAGAAAGAAGAGCTTCCAGGATCCGATTTAAGGCCTATCATGTCCAGAATCTTAACTGTCAGCAAGAGTATCTGCATGGCTTCTCTTGTATTTCTCTCTAGTGCACAAATGGGTGGCTTTTATCCATATTAAATTACAAACCCTAAGCACTGTGTATTCTTCACCTTCATAAGTGAAGCTTGTATTGCCGCCTATATTAAGATCAGCCTGTAGGTCTTATGGCCTGTGGAAATTAAACATGGAAAAATATCCAGGGTCATTGATGGCACATTTTCCAAGGGTCAGCTTATGCATGGCTAAGCAATCCAAAATCCAGTAATGTGGGTAGCCATATAAATCTTTAAAATAACAATAGTTTACAAATTGCAAATTGCAAAAACTGAAAGAGGAGAAGGAAGAAGAAAGAAGGAAAAGGAAGGGAAACAAAGAAAAGGAAGGAAGGAAGAAAGGAAGGAAGGAAGGAAGGAAGGAAGGAAGGAAGGAAGGAAGGAAGGAAGGAAGGAAGGAAGGAAGGAAGATTATGAGAGTGAGGGAGGTTCTGGGAGAAGTCCTGCCTTAGCAAATGGCTACCACAGGGGGCCCCCACACAAGTGATGTGAAGCTGGACCCCAGTCCCCCAAAGTCAAACATAACCCTGATGCAGCCCTCAATGAAATTGAGTTTGACACACTTGACTTAGATGATAGATTCCATTACTTTGAGAATAGTGTATGCCACAGCTGTTCTTATCTTCACACATAGTTAGAGCTCCAAATATTCAACTTTTCTGAGAACATCTGTAGTCTCCAACTAATACAAATCACTCAAGAGCAGAGGTGTCAAACTGGGCTCCCACAGGCTGGATGCATCACACAAAAGCCATGCCCACCACAGCTTTGCGAAGGGAAAAAATATCATGAACATACCATGATGGCAATATGACATGGCAAGTTTGACACACATGCTCAAGAACATGGAAATGTAGACCAAGGTGCACTTTTTATAATACAGTTCATAGTTTTAGACTGAAAGTCCCAGAAGACTGGCAATGTAGTGAAATAACTTCATTGACACATATGAAGCTACTTGCCCTATTCATCAACTTAAAAAAATAAAAACAAATTAGAAACAAATATGCTACCCAGCAAAATACCAAATATAAATATAATCTCAGTGATTAAACCAGAGTTTCAAAAGATATCTATTCTTGCACTAGAAGTTTGCTGTTCTTTAAAATACAATTTTTCTTCACATTTATTTTTTACATCATATAATCAACCTTTAGGAATCCTGTTATTCATCTTACATGCCATGTTGCATGTTTTAACAATTGTATGCATCTTATATTGCATCCTATACAATTTATATTTTCTACATATATATACATATTTATCCTTTTCTTTACTTATTGTGGTCAAACCATTTACCCTGGAAGGGATTACTTATATAATCAATCCAAACTAAACTAGTAACCTTGCCAGACTGATTTATTTCATTGACGGGATAAATAATGAATCATCCAACACAAACCACAGAAAGGTAAAAACTGTAATGACTCAAAAATAAAGTTTTATTTCTTTATTTCCTTATTTAATAACAAGTTTAAAAATACTAGGTAATTTTAATATACAGTAAATCCATGTGAAATCTCAAAGGATTATATGAATATAAGCCATTCATATTCATAAGGATAACTGATATTTATATAATAATTTGATATATTTTGGATGGCTGATTTCATTCTTTGATGTTTAGAATGTGCCCTTCAAATGACTTGATTTTATTCTACAAAGTGTGTTTTATGAAGAAATCATGAAACATATAGCATAGATTTCCCCCAAAATCTACCTTATTTGAAGAAAGACTAAAATATTTTAATATAGGAGCAGTTTTAAAACACTTTGAAAATGAATGAGCTAAAGATCCTAAATAATTATGTATTATAGTGAAACACATAGTTATTTTATTTCCTTACTAAATGTTCCTTCCTGTTCATCTCAGGTCTCAATAGAATGATATAGCATTTGGGAAAAAATATACACCCTAATAAACCAACACTAGAAGATAAGATAGAAAAGATCCCCACAACTACCATGTATTTCCCTTTGGTACTCAGGTAGGTTGGAATAAATGTCAGCCAAACACTGCAAAAGACCAACATGCTGAAAGTGATGAACTTGACCTCATTGAAACTGCTTGGAAGCTTCCTGGCTTGGAAAGCAATGTTAAAGCTGACACTGGCCAGGAAGCCCATGTAACCCAGGACATAGTAAAACATGATCACGGAGCCTTTGTTGCATTCCATTATGATTTCTCCCTCCAGTGAGCGCAGGTCTGTATCTGGGAAAGGAGGAGAAGTACTCAGCCAAATTGTGCAAATCACCACCTGAATGAAGAACCCAAAAGGACAATAGAATTGGCCAGTCTTTTCCCTACCCATTTCTTCATTCCAGAGCCTGGTTTAGTTGCCATAAATGCCAGAACCACTGTCATGGTTTTTGCCAATACAGAGGAAAGGGCCACTGAGAAGATAACACCAAAAGTTGTTTGCCGTAAAAGACAAGTCATCTTTTCAGGTCTACCCATGAAGAGGAAGGAGCAGAGGAAACAGAAAAAAAGTGAAAGGAGAAGGATACAAGTGAGGCTCTGATTATTAGCTTTGACAATTGGAGTTTCTCGGTGTATCCAAAAGACTCCAAGAACAAGGACTGTAAGCAAAGAGAAAACAATAGCCATTGTAATAAAGAGGATTCCCAAAGGTTCATTAGAAAAGAGATAAGTAAAAACTTTGGGAATACATTGGTTTTGCATATTATTGGGGTACTGATTTTCTGGACCTTTCCAGCACACATCTGTATCTGGAAAAAAATATTTGAAATACTCCAAAACTGTTAGTAATATAGAATATTTTAGTTTCCTTTATTGTTATTGCACCTCGTATAACAAAATTAAATACCATCTTCAGTGTACATTATGACTATGAAAATAAACACAAACACACATCCTCCACATTCTATACATTGAATTGGAAACCCTTGATATTGCCTTAATATTGTACCATATTAATATAGTACAAGAGAGCGTATATAGACTATTATTAATATTGATACTGATATATGTCACCTAGTTTGTCAAGATAGAATAGGAATTTTCATTTGAGTACAAAAATATGTTTTTTGAAAAAATTGCATAAATAAAATGTAAAAGTGAGATTTCTCATTATACGTGGGGACAGGTAAGGGTTAACTGAAAATAAGATGCAAAGGAAAGTGTATTCTGTCCTATCTGTTCTTTTGTAAAATGAGAAAGTTATTAATAGACTCTTTATATACATTACTATTATTCCAGTTTGGAATAACAACATTTGCAAGTTCAGAAATAACTTTTGTAATAGTTAATATTAAAAGTTTAACAACCATGCTAACATATCTAATAGAGAAGAGATTTTTGTTGAACAGAATTTTTAATGAAAAAGACAGACTACATCTTTATGTTTTTGGAAATGTAACAATAGTAATGTTTCACTGAAAGTTGTCTTTCTGTTATAAGCTTTATATTAGTTGCAGATATCTTTTTGAATTACATATTCATTTCATGGAAACTAATAGCTGAACTGTGGAAATAAATTCTCCATTTTATATGTTTTGCTTAGACACTAGTCTTTCAACACTGGAAGGATAAATATATGGCCCAGCGTA